GTATATTTTATATATATATATATATATATATATATATTTCATTTAGTTCCAAATCCTCCCATCTTATCTCGTTTAGAATTAAAATAATAAGAAGGATGTCCCAGCCCCTGGCGAGGTTCCCTGGAACACACAGTCGAAATCTTTCATAAGCCTTGCCTCCAAAGTAGGTAATATTATACGCCCACCGCCAGAATCAACTAGGCGAGTAAAACTGATAAGTTTGGTGTGGCGGTACATGCTACCAGAACGGAGGCAAGAAAATAAAGTCATATCAACTAAGCATCTACTATGAAAAGACATACACAATTACGTGCATTTCGGGCAAGGATAATGTCGTGGCTGACACCTTGTCTCGAATCGAGGAACTGCAAATGCCAATCGATCTAGATCTACTTGCAAAATCCCAAGCCTCTGATGCGGAACTGACTGATATCTTCAGCAGTGAATCATCACTTTCACTGCGTATAGAACAGTTCAAGCTTCCGAACAGTAGCTCGGAACTATATTGCGACGTGAGCACACCGTCACCTAGACCATTTGTGACAAAGCCCTTCCGTAAAAAACTCTTCGATAGTCTTCATAACCTCAGCCACCCAGGCGTCAGAGCGTCAACCAAACTTGTAGCGGAGCGGTTCGTTTGGCCTGGGATGCGTAAAGACTGTCGAGAGTGGTCACGGAACTGTCTGGCGTGTCAACGTGCAAAGGTGCATCGCCACGTGTCATCTCCCTTCGGCACGTTCGATCTACCCAAGGCACGTTTTTCTTTTATCCATGTGGACATAATAGGCCCACTGCCCCCATCACAGGGAAATCGATACTGCCTCACCATCGTGGACCGATTCACACGCTGGCCCGAAGTCTCGCCAATGGTCGATATGACGGCTGAGACCGTTGGAAAGGCTCTGATATCGTGGATATCCAGATTTGGATGTCCAACTGATATCGTAACGGATCGCGGACGACAGTTTGAATCCACCCTTTTTCATTATTTAGGAAAAATGATTGGATTCAAACATCGAAAAGCTACCGCGTATCACCCAGCGTGTAACGGTATGGTGGAACGGTTTCACCGGCAACTAAAGGCAGCAATAATGTGTCACGCAGACAGCAACTGGGTAGACACATTGCCTTTAGTACTGTTGGGTATTAGGTCCTCTTATAAAGAAGAGCTTAAAGCTTCGTCGGCAGAGTTGGTATACGGAGAGCCCTTACGTCTTCCAGGGCAATTTTTCCAACCAGTTGCTCTGGATAACACCGATTTATCAGAATTTACCACTCGCCTTCGACAGCTCACCCATAAGCTATCACCGACACCTGCCACACGTCACAGTAAAAACAACATCTTTGTACATAAAGATTTAAAAGTTTCAACGCACGTATTTTTGCGAGACGATGCCTTAAGAGGTGCATTGCAACCTCCATATTCTGGCCCTTACGAAGTGGTCGAACACGGGGATAAAACATTTAAAATATGGGTAAAAGGGAAAGCTGTAACAGTATCGATAGACCGTCTTAAGCCAGCCTATATACTGACAGACCCCTCACCAAATTCCATCCCTACTTTTTATCCTCAACCTGTCCCTAAACCGTCAGAATCCACCGATACAGCAGCAACTCCTGTCAAGGAAAACGTTAAACGTACGCGCTTGGGGCGCGTTGTACGTTTCCCTGATTTTTATCGCCCGTAGTGACGGTCTCCGGGGGGGAGTGATGTGGTGTATCTATTTATTTACACACACACATTGGAAATATCTATTTACATATGTATATAAATAACTCATTATACAGTTAAGTTTATCATACACAATCTATAGTATTCATATATATATTTTATTTACTATGTACTGCATACTTATTTATTATCACTTATATTAGTATTTTATATTATCAAGTCCCGTACGTGGAAGGCACTCTCGTAGAACCGGTTCCCCGGTCGGTCGACCGGCCGCGGTGCATAGTTTAAGAGATGACTCGCCAGTTAGCAACGAGACCCTTATACGCGTAAGCGCATGCCGCTCCTTGCTCCGTCGGTTAATTGTTATCACACAATTTTAATCCGTAATATAAGTTGTGAAAAACTGTTATCCCATAAGTTAATTTTATTATTGAGCTATTAATATTATAATATTTTATCAATTTACTATCATTCTTTTCTCCTTCTTATCTTAATAATTGTGTGTGTATCTATTGTAATAAACTGAATTATTCGGAATTTGTGGACATTATTTAAATTGCCTAGTCGTTACACGAACATTACATCTTACTATACTACATACCATTGGTCGCTCCAATGATTCATAGAGCCTCTTCTGATCACTCTAGAAGAGACGATTCTGGTTGAACCGTGTCGACCTCTCGGTATATCGCCGAATCCGCTTCCCCCAAGCAGCGATTCTCTGCTTCAGGTCGTCTATGCGCTCCGTCAGTTTTTGCGTTATATCCGGCTGGGACAAACTGATATTTGTCCCAGCAAACGCCATCCTGACGGTGCGCACAATTCTCGGCCTATTATTGCCCGACCTGAAGCTTATCAGCCTGCCGATGAGGGCCCTTGCCTTTGCGATACGGTCCTCAATCCTTCTTCTCCAGGCTGGGATGGCGCTACTTTGTCTAGTAGCGCGTCCAGCTTTGGGAAGTTTGGCGCCAATAATACGGCAAACTGCCAGTGCGGCGCCAAAAAGAATTGAGTCCGTCTCGCAAAGGTCCCGGCTGGCTTCCAAATAGGTCACCAGCATTGGGTTGAGAGCCCTCACGACAGCCCGATTCCACTTGCTTAGGGGTATACGGGGAAGTCGCGGTCGATTCTCGAGAGGCGTACTGCGCGTTTCCCTAATCGCCTCTTCCACTATGCTCCTCATTTGCTCTAGTTCTTGGGCGACTATTCCATCGTCGCCTGAGTCAACTACAAGGAGATCTACGGCGGCATCTACGTGTGCGGGTTGCTCTGCAACTCGTAGAGCCGCATCTCCTGTCGTAGCATTTTCATTCGACAAAGGAATAGCCTCACGTCGTAGCCGTTCGAGTTCGGCGTCATCAAATATTTTTGAGCGCATGATGTACCGAACTCGGTCTGCCAGGTTTTGCTCGGTAACGGTAATAGATGGCTCCAGCTCAGCAAATAGTCGGTGCATCCTAGCCCGATACCCAAAACCTCCAATTTCTCTCCCTTTCGCGCCAAAATACGCCCGCAATGCATTTTTATTCATTTGCATTGACCAACGCATGCGGCGTACTCCACCAGTGGCGGGTGCTGATTGCTGGGCCAACAAAGACCCTGCCAACACCAAGCCAGCTGGTGGGGATGATGGATGCGAGGGGCTGCTGGGTGATCGTGCAGCATCTCGCGGTCGACTCGCGGTTCGCATGCTGCCACGTCCAGCGCCAGCTCCAGACGCGCCCTGGCGACCTCCAGGCAGCGGCCCTTTGCGCGTATTCCTTAATTCCATCATCCATGAAGTGGGCGTCAGTTAACGGGAGACGCCCAGACCCGGCACCGTTTCATGGTGAGGCCATGTGCACAATCGGGCATTTGCACCTCCAATTTTGCCGAGGCACGGTGCTAACACCTCTTGGCAAGGTGCTGACTGACTGCGCTGACGTAGCAGTTTTGTCACATAACCGTTACGTCAGCGGGCGATGGGGTCGTCACTTCCCTACGCCTATTTATTATTATTATTATTATTATACATCTATATTCTCCCTATTGTAGAGGTAACTTAAAACCTAATTACACGGGCCGAAGCCAAGCGTGAGCAGGTGCTAGGTGATGGTGTAAGCGGAGGTGACGGATGAAGTGGTGAGGAATTTGCGTATGAGTCGGCAGGTGTTGAGAATGACAGCTTTCTGGAGGGTGTAAAGTGTGTGTTGGGGTACTTGCAAAATATCTAAACTGCGTTGTAGGCTTTTAGGTTGTCACGTTATTATTTTATTTGATAATAAATAAATAATAACAACATTTTTTTTTACAATGTTTAATAACACTACTTATAAAACTAGACTAATATAAGTACTTCTAAAGAGATATTTAATAAGTACTTTTAAAGAGATATTCAATAATACTGCTTATAAAAAAAAAACTAATATAAATACTTCTAAGAAAATACTAAGTTGACTAATACAAAAAAAAGGCAAATAAAATAAAATTAACAGGTCGCGGGTTCGACGCCTTTCAGGATCAGGAGAAAAAGCAAGTACTTCCCTGGCACGACTGGCGGCGAGTCCGGCGGAAGTGGTTGGAGATATGTGTCCTTTATAAACCGATTTCGCTTGCGAATTCAATGTATATTTTATATATATATATATATATATATATATATATATATATATATATATATATTTCATTTAGTTCCAAATCCTCCCATCTTATCTCGTTTAGAATTAAAATAATAAGAAGGATGTCCCAGCCCCTGGCGAGGTTCCCTGGAACACACAGTCGAAATCTTTCATAAGCCTTGCCTCCAAAGTAGGTAATATTATACGCCCACCGCCAGAATCAACTAGGCGAGTAAAACTGATAAGTTTGGTGTGGCGGTACATGCTACCAGAACGGAGGCAAGAAAATAAAGTCATATCAACTAAGCATCTACTATGAAAAGACATACACAATTACGTGATAAAATAACTAGCATGTGACATAAAATTAAATTACAAACTAAGTATCAATTGTCTAAATTTCAAAAATCAAAGTATCATAATATTTGTTATACTATTGTAATACATATATTATAAATTTGCTCACACTTACCCAATATAAGGGGAACAACCGTTAATATTTAATAATTATTAACAAACCTATAAAAAGCTATTAGCTATAATTTGCATAACGTATGCGTTTTGAATTATTTAATATAGATGCAGAAATGCATTTAGGCGACTGGACCTTCACGGTCACACTGAGGTCACTCGTCAGCCGCGCGGACTATTCATGCACCCCCACTTGTCTTCGCGCGAATTAGATGACACATTACAATACCCCGCTGGCCACCCAAGGATTTTTCTTCCTATAAGTAGAAAAATCCGCAGCAAAACCAAAAAATGTGCCATTTAGACAATTTAAAATCTTTTATGTGCCATGGCCCTAAATATTTACCGTGCATGTCCTCCAATTCGTACACTAGAGGTGACCTCTTTTTAGTTATGCGGCATTTAATAAATTTTGGGGCTAATTTTTTATTAAAATATTTGTGTTTATCACTCAGATAGTAAGTGCGCTTAAATACAATATCGCCTTCGTTAAATTCTGTGAACCTTCTCCTTAAATTATAGCGTTTGGAATTTTGTTGATGATGATGCCATAGTGATGCCTGAACTTTGTTGAATATTTTAGAGAGATAACCGATGTTCTCAGCATAGGCGTCTCGCGGTAAGAAAACAATTTCATCGCCAAGGTCGTTGTCAACGTAGTGAGAACCACATATTACCAATTCACGCCCATATACAAGGAATGAGGGAGTGTAACCAGTAACCTCGTTAACGGAGTTGTTTATTGCAAACAGTATTTTAGGCAAATATACATCCCAAGAACGCTGATCTTCTTTCACAAAGGTCGATATACAGGTGACAATAGTTTTATTATAGCGTTCCACCAAATTAACCTGAGGAGTATATTTAGGTGTAAGAAAAACGTTAGGAATATTATACTTATTAAATAACGCAATGGTCTTCTCACAAATAAATTGGCTGCCATTATCCATATACACCGTTTGGGGAATGCCATGTGTTAAAAATACAGAGTCTTCCAGATGTTTAATTACAATGTCGGCTGTAGCTCTTCTTACCGGAAACGCTAAACAATATTTGGAAAAACAACATGTTACGACTAAGATATAAGAATTTTGTTTTCTACTAACTGGCAGGGGTCCGATGAAATCAATTGAAATAATTTGGAAGGGTCGGCAACACTGTTTAGGTCGTCCCATTTCTCCTAACACATTATGAGTAGGGAGTTTATAAGTTAAGCAGATGTCACACTTCGTAACAAACTTTACGACGTCCCGATGCATACCTGGCCAAAAATACTGCAATGCTAAACGGCGATAAGTTTTATGGATGCCTACTGGTGATGCTCTATACACCGGCCGGGCCAATATTTCTCGGGAAAACGTCGCCGAGTACCGGAACAAACTTGTGTCTGAAGTCGAGTCTTTGCTGGACAAAGTCTCTGATTGGGGGCGACTAAATCTAGTCCAGTTTAATCCTCAGAAGACACAAGTTTGCGCGTTTACCGCTAAAAAGAACCCCTTTGTCGTATCTCCCCAGTTTCAAGGCACTCCCCTTCTTGCCTCAGCCAGTATCGGTATCCTCGGAGTCGACATATCGAGTGACGTGCAGTTTCGTGGTCACTTGGAAGAGAAGGCCAAATTGGCCTCTAAAAAGCTTGGCGTGCTCAGCAGAGCGGGACAGTATTTCATGCCGGCACACCGCCTGCAACTTTACAAGGCGCAGGTTCGGCCTCACATGGAATACTGTTCCCATCTCTGGGCAGGGGCTCCCCAGTGCCAGCTCCTTCCACTTGACCGCATCCAGCGCAGAGCGGCTCGAATCGTCGACGACCGAGCCCTTTCCGATCGGCTCGATTCATTGGCACTGCGAAGAGATGTTGCATCTCTTTGCATTTTCTTTCGCATCTACCATGGGGAGTGCTCTGAGGAATTGTTCGGATTAATCCCAGCCGCCAAATTTCATGAACGCACATCGCGGCAGAACTCCCGATACCATCCACACCATCTGGATGATTGGCGGTCCACCACTGTGCGATTTAGAAGATGTTTTCTTCCTCGCACGACTTCCTTGTGGAATCGATTACCATCAGCGATTTTTCCGGACCGATACGACTTAGGGACCTTCAAGAAAAGAGCCTACTCCTTTTTAAAAGGCCGGCAACGCATCTGCAATTCCCCTGGTGTTGCGGTTGTTCATGGGCGGCGGTAGTCACTTACCATCAGGTGAGCCGCATGCTCGTTTGCCCCCTCTCCTATAAAAAAAAAAAAAAAAAAAAATGCCTAAATGACCTGACGTGGGTTCTGCGTGATTTTCTTTGATAACGTGTTCTCGTAATTCTAATGGAACTACTTCTTTCCACGAAAACTCTGTAGTTAATAAACATTTATTTTTTGAACATCGATATAGCTTTTCCGCTTTGATAAGAAAATTTTCATATTTACTTGGATTGTTCATACAACCATTATAAATGTCTAAATACCATTTATCATTCGTTGTTAAGTAAGATTTTGCTGTGGAAATAGAAGAAACTACGACAGCGCGAGATAACGCGTCTGGAATAATGTTATCAGCACCACGTCTATGCTTGATAGTAAAATCAAAAGAAGATAGCCTAATGCCCCATCTTCCAAGCCTGCCCGTAGGGTTGATTAAAGAGAGAAACCACTTTAATGCTGATTGATCAGTGTAAACTACAAAAGGTTGACCATTTTCAAGATAGCAACGCCAGTGTTCTAATGCTACTATTACAGCTAATGTCTCTCTCTCGGTAATGCTGTAATTCTTTTCTGCAGCATTTAGTGACTTGCTCATATAGGCAACAGGATGTTCTTTGCCATCGACTGTTTGAGTTAACATGGCACCTACTCCATAATTACTGGCGTCTGTGTGAACTTGGAAGGGCAAATTATAGTTAGGACAATGTAAGACTGGTGCAGATACTAAACATTCTTTTAGCTTTTTAAAAGCTATGTCTGCCTCTAGTGACCAGTAAAATTTTGGAGCACCCTTGCGATTTGAAGTAAGTTTATTAAAAGGCCCAGCTATAGTGCTAAAATTTGGCACAAAACGTCTATACCAGGTGGCTGTTCCTAAAAAACGTTTTACATCTTTTTTTGAAGACGGTGTTGGATACTCTAAAATAGCTTTTACCTTTTCAGGGTCTGTTCTGAGACCCTGGGCATCTATTACGTAGCCCAAATATTTCAGACGAGACCGAAAAAATTGGCTTTTTTCAAAGTTTATTGTTAAATTTGCTTCCTTTAGCTTATTTATTACACGTAATAATAAAGAAACGTGTTCATCGAATGTGTTAGAAATAATAATTATATCATCGAGGTATGCAAATACCTTAAGATCAAATGAACCAAATAATAAGTCTACAAGCCTTTGTTGGGTTGCAGGTGCATTGGTAAGGCCGAAAGCCATCCTCTTAAAACAAAAGGTCCCACGACCTTGGACATAAAAGGCAGTTTTTACGCGATCGCGTTCTGAAATTAAAATTTGCCAGAATGCTTTAGAAAGGTCTATACTAGATATAAATTTTGCGTCTCGCAGATTATCCAGAATTTCGGAAACATATGGCAAGGTATAAGCATCGCGTTTGGTTACAGAATTTAACTTGCGACTGTCTAAGCAAATGCGCGTTTGGCCGTTTTTTTTTGTAACAATTAAGATTGGAGAGGACCAAGAGCTCTCACAAGGCTGAATTACGTCCAATGAAAGCATCTCGTCAACTTGCTGGCATAAAATTTGCTGATTTACAGGGGACATTCGATAATAACGCTGTCGTATAGGTTTCGTGTCACCCGTATCAATAGAATGACATACAAGAGAAGTACAACCTAAGCCCTTGCGTTCGGAAGAAACGTCCTTAAATTGTTCAATTGTGTCGTCAGCAATCAAGCGTTGGTTGGCATTAAGGGATGCGTATGAATGTATGTGAGATTTTAATATTGATTCATTCGTGTTTGAATAATAATCGGTGAGTTCTCTTTTATATTCAATGCAGTTGATGTATTTTGGACATATGTTAAATTTTTTCCAGAAATCAATACCTAATATAAGAGAGGTCTCTATTTCAGGAACAACAAATGTCTTCAAAGTATAATAATTGTTTTCAAAATTAAATGGGAGATTAATATATCCTAAGCAATTAAGTTTTTGTCCACCGGCTGCTGTTATAGAGACTATTTCATCAGTGTGCACAGCAAATCCTTCATCTATCAGTAAGTTGTGTGCATTATTGCCTAGTAAGGTGACGGCTGAGCCAGAATCTAATAACCCCCAAAATTTTGTATTTCCTATTTTGACTGATAAATAAGGTCGCACGTCGTTAGGTGGTTTATTAAGTAGAATTGTAGCAACTGTATAGCTATTAAAAAAATTATTAATAAATTTCAACCACTGTTTCCAATCGGTATTATTAGAGTGGTTGACGAGGTTGCTACAATTCTGCTTTATTAGTTTTTTGAACTAGACGGAATACTTGTACAATCTGGACAAGTGTAAAATGTGTAATCATCACGGCCACATTTGAAACAAAATACTTTGCGTTTTTCTGTACATTGTCTTAAGTTGTGTGTATCAACACGACACCGAGGGCAAAACTTTTGTTTACTTTCGTCATATTCAATAGCGTCTATTGGTTCATTATTACCATAAACTCTTTGTTGCCGTTGCGGATTAGTGTTGTTTAAAACATTAGAATTGGGAGAATATTTTTTATAAAGGTTACTTGAATTAGGTATAGGTTTATTATAATTATTATAAGCTTTATTGCAATTAAATTTATTGGTGGTAGAATAGTACATTTTATTTTTTTCTGCTAAATTAGTGAGTGGCTTAAATGCAAATTCGGGTGCTAGTGTGGCTGAATTTATTTTAGGAGGTTCATGATATTTATCAAGACAAGACTGTACATTCTCATAATTTTTACAAGCCGTACGTAAGACCTCAATAGATTTAAGATCAGGCACTGCAATTAAAGCGCTAGCATAACACGGTTTGATATTGTGCATAATAATTTCTAACTGATCTTCCTCCGAAGGTTTTTTAAATAAACGGGAAAACATGCCTGACATAATGGCTAGGTAAATAGTAATATTCTCAGTTTCACCTTGTGTACGAGCTTTTATCTCGTCTAATAAGCGATAATCATGATCAGGAATAACAAAAACATCCTTCAGTAATTCGCATAATCTATCCCAAGACGTAACATGTGATCTTACACTGCGAAACCAGTGTAAAGCATCACCAACGAAAATTTCTGTTCCAAAATCTATAATTTTAGAAGAGGGAATACCACGGGCTGTTATATAGTCATTTATACGTTGGACAAACGAAAGTACGCACGTTTTTCCATCAAACTTAATACTAGTTAAGTCCGAAGAATGAGCTCGATCACATGTAACAACAATAGGGGACGGTGTACTTGTAAGAGCATCTGTAAATTCAGATGAGGAATCAGTATCAGGCTTGAGATGTTCTAAGTTTTTAAAATTTGTATTTAGCTTGAGCCTGAGGCTTTCTAGAATATCTGTAGACTTTTTATCTACAGCATCCAGACGTTAAATCCTATGAAATAAATGGTTAAGTAAGTTTTGAGTACGTTTATATAAATTTTTATCGTATTTCACTGATAATGTTTTTAAATTCGTTTCTACTTTAACAAGGCTTTGGCGGATGCCCTCTACGTCTACAGAAAACTCAAACCCAGATTCAATAATATCATCCGAAGGCATCACATTGGCTAATTTGACTATCTGCCTGCGTAATTCTTGAACGTTTTTTCGGGCGTGCCGCCTCTAATGGCCACCTCATATCTTAGTTCGTTTTTTTGTAAGGACAAGAATTGAATTTCGTATGACATAATTTAAGAAGTCTAAGAAAATCCTAATACTAGGTTTTTGTGAGCAGGTTTAAAATTCTATAATTATACAATAAAACTAATTTCTTTAAGTAAGAAACCTCCGTCCTGTTACAATTTTGGTAATAGTAATCCCCTAAGTTTCTTTTTTAAGGATGTTCGTAAAAATTACTACACGGGAAAGCAAAAAAATAAAGAGAAAAAAATGCAACAAAAGGGTGCAACTGTAGTATATATTTGCGTTAATAAAGCTTATTATTAAATATATTAATAAAACCAAAATATTTTATTTTTGTACGTATACAAATTAGACACAATAAGGATACCACTAAAATTAAAACATTATATACACTGCAGTTGCAAAAGTATAAAAGGCAAAATAAAAGTCATAAAAAAAACAAAAGGTTTACAATA